CTCCAGCATAAATTGTCATTGGTGTTTTTGATTTTAGCCATTCTGACAGGAGTGAGATGGTATCTCAGAGTTGTTTTGATTTGCATTTCCCGGATGGCTAAGGATGTTGAGCACTTTCTCAAGTGCCTCTCAGCCATTTTAGATTCCTCTATTGAAAACTCTCTATTTAGTTCTGCAGCCCACTTTTTAATTGGGTCCTTTGATGTTCTGGAGACTTGCTTCTTGAGTTCTCTGTAAATTTTGGAGATCACCCCTCTGTCAGATGTGGGATTAGTGAATATTTTTTCCCATTCTGTGGGCTGCCTTTTGGTCTTGCTGACTGTGTCCTTTGCCTTACAGAAGCTTCTCAGTTTCATGAGATCCCATTTATTAATTGTTGATCTCACTGTCTGTGCTGCTGGTGTTATGTTCTGGAAGCTGTCTCCTGTACCAATTCGTTCAAGGGTACCACTCACTTTCTCTTCTAAGGGGTTAAGTGTGGCTGGATTTATGTTGAGGTCTTTGATCCATTTGGATTTAAGTTTTGTGCATGGCGATAAACATGGATCGATCCGCATTCTTCTACATGCCAGCCTCCAGTTATGCCGGCACCATTTGTTGAAGATGCTTTCTTTATTCTATTGTATATTTTTAGCTTCTTTGTCAAAGATCAGATGTTCGTACGTGTATGGGTTAATATCCGGGTTTTCAATTTGATTCCATTGGTCTACCTGTCTATTTTTGTGCCAATACCAAGCTGTTTTCAGGACTATAGCTCTATAATAGAGCTTGAGGTCAGGGATGGTGATGCCTCCAGACGTTGCCTTGTTGAACAGGGTTGTTTTGGCTATCCTGGGTCTTTTGTTTTTCCATACAAAATTGATTATTGTTCTTTCAAGGTCTGTGAAGAATTGTGCTGGGGTTTTAATGGGGATTGCATTGAATCTGTAGATTGCTTTTGGCAGGATTGCCATTTTTACTACATTGATCCTACCTATCCAAGAGCATGGGAGATCTTTCCATTTTCTGAGGGCTTCTTTAATTTCTTTCTTTAAAAATTAAGTTCTTGTGATACAGGTCTTTCACTTGTTTGGTTAGCGTTACCCCAAGGTATTTTATGTTGTTTGTGGCAATTATAAAGGGTGATGTTTCTCTGATTTCTCTTTCAGACCTTTTATCATCTGTATATAGTAGGGATACTGATTTTCTTGAGTTGATCTTGTAGCCTGCCACTTTGCTGAAGGTGTTAATCAGCTGTAAGAGTTCCCTGGTAGAGTTCTTTGGTTCATTGATGTAACCTATCATATCATCTGCAAACAGTGTAAGTTTGACCTCTTCCTTCCCAATTTGTATCCCCTTGATCCCCCTTTGTTGTCGTATGGCAATAGCTAGAACTTCAAGTACCATGTTGAAAAGGTATGGAGAGTGTGGACAGCCCTTTTTTTCCTGATTTTAGAGGAATTGCGTTGAGTTTCTGTCCATTTAGTTTGATGTTGGCTGTTGGTTTACTGCATATAGCTTTTATTATGTTTAAGTATGTCCCTGTTATCCCAGATCTCTCCAAGACCTTTATCATGAAGGGGTGTTGGATTTTGTCAAAGGCTTTTTCAGAATCTAGTGAGATGATCATGTGATTTTTGTTTTTCAGCTTGTTTATATGGTGGATTACGTTGATGAATTTTCGTCTGTTGAACCAACCCTGCATCCCTGGGATGAAACCTACTTGATCATGGTGAATGATTGTTTTGATGTGTTCTTGGATCTGATTTGCCAGTATTTTATTGAGTATTTTTGCATCAATGTTCATGAGGGATAGTGGTCTGAGGTTCTTTTTCTTAGTTGTGTTTTTATGAGGCTTGGGGATCAAGGTTATTGAAGCCTCATAGAAAGAGTTTGGCAAAGGCTCTTCTGCTTCTATTGTGTGGAATACTTTGAGAAGAATTGGTATAAGCTGTTCTTTGAATTTCTGGTAGAATTCTGCACTGAGGCCATCTCTTAAGACAGTTTTATTGGAAAATCTTTTCCCAATCCTTAACTCTTTGAGGCTGAGTTGTGTTTCTTGAATGCAGCAGAAGGATGGGTTCTGTCTCGAATTCATTCTGTTAGCCTGTGCATTTTGATGGGTGATTTAAGACCATTAGTATTGAAGATATTAATGACCTTTGATTGCTTGTTCTCATTTGCTTTGGAATGGTTGTTCTTAGTGGAATTGTATGTGGAATTCCACCCCTTTTCTCTTTTGGCTGTTGGTAAGGTGGGATTATCTAATGCCTATGTTTTTGTGGTTGTAGTTAACTTCCTTGGGTTGGAGATTTCCTTCCAGTACTTTCTGTATGTCTGGGTTAGTGGATATGTATTGCTTGAATCTATTTTTTTCATGGAATATCTTGTTTTCTCCAACTATAGTGATTGATCCCTTTGCGGGGTATAGTAGTCTGGGCTTGCATCTGTGGTCTCTTAATGTTGGTAGAATATCTATTCAGGACCTTCTGGCTTTCATTGTTTTCATGGTGAACTCAGGTGTGATTCTGATTGGTTTGCCTTGATATGTTACTTGGACTTCTTCCCTAGCTGCTCTTAATATTCTTTGATTATTCTGTATTATTATGTTTTGTGGGGAATTTTTTTTGTTTCACTCTATTTGGTGTTCTGCAAGCTTGTTGCACCTTCATTGGCATGTCCTTCTTTAGGTTGGGAACGTTTTCTTATATTATTTTGTTGAGTATGTTTTCTGGTACTTTGATGTGGGTTTCTTCACATTCTTCAATACCCATTATTCTTAAGTTTGGTCTTTTCATGGTGTTCCATAGTTCCTGGATATTTTGTGGTAGGGATTTGTTGGGCATAAAATTTTCTTTGGTCAATGAATCTAATTCTCCTAGTGTATCTTGAACTCCAGAGTTTCTCTCTTCCATTTCTTGTATTCTGTTGGTTTTTCTTGCATCGGTAGTACCTGACAGTGTTCCCAGCTTTGCTATTTCCTGCATTCCTTCAGACTGTGTTTTTTTTATTGTTTCTATGTCAGATTTCAGCCCCTGAACTGTTTGAATTGTTTCTTGCAGCTTTTCCCCTGTCTTTTCTTCCATTTCTTGCATTTTGGACAGTTTTTTCTTCCATCTCTTTAAAGGACTTTCTCATATCCTCTTTGAGGGTCAGTATCAATTCCATGAAGCTGTTTTTAATGTGAATCTCTTGTGGTTCATTTGTGTTGGGTTGTTCCAGTCTTGTTCGTATAGCGTCTCTGTACTCTGGTGGTGTCATATTGTGTTTTCTGTTGCTCCTCGTGTTTTTTTTATTGTCTCCTTCCCATCAGTTCTTGCAGTGTGTTCCAGAAGGTGCCTCTTCCTCTCCTGGTGGGTTTGGGACCAGGGTTCACTTCTGGTGGGTGTAGGCATTTCCAGTGTTCTGGTAGCTCTCCACTTCCTGGTCTTGTAGCTGGAGAAATGGATTAGGATGCTGAGGTGCTTTGGCTCCCACTGGGATGGATGGGAGCCCCAGTGGTAGACCCCAAGCACAGGATTGTGTCTGGAGACAGGCCCTGATAGTCTTAATCACATGGATGGGTGGAGACAGAGACTGGGATGCTTGGGTGTACTGGCTCCTGCCACCTAAATGGAGGCCACCTTGGTAGGCCTGAAGCACTGACAGGCAGCTCTAAAATGGGCTCTAGTTTACCTGGACCCATGGGTGGAGCAGGAGAGTAGGGAGCGTTGGTTCCTCCTGCTGGGATGGAAGATGCAGCAGGAGACCCCAAGCACAGGCAGCCAGTCTAGTCCTATTCCTGTGAGTGGAGACGAGAATGCAAAACTCTCAGTTCTCTTGTTTGCTCTTGTTGTTCTCATTGTGTGTTCAAAACATGCTCTTGGGATGCTGGAATTTGTGTGAAAAAGGATTCAGGATGACAGCCTAGTCAGAAGCAAATCCCAAACAATGCAAGATCATTAGTAAAATACTTTCAATTGTGAAGTGCATTTGATGGCTAGCCTAGTTATTCCCCCACAGAATAAGAAAGGTGTTCTTATTGTTGTTGTTGTAGGTGTTTTATAGGATTGCCACAGGTGAAGATTTTATAGATTTTATATTAGAGATACTTTTGTATTTCTTAGAGACTTCAAACTCTGAATAAGACTTTGGATATTTAAAGTGACTAATCTTTAAGGTGTTGAAATTTTGACCATTGTGTTCCTGAAAAAGCTGATCTATATTTCATGCTGTAATTTTAGTATTAACATGCCATGTAGGAGAAAATGATAAAGGTAGGGTTGTAGTTGGATTGTGTTGTGATCATGCATTTAGCTGAAAGTAGGTCAATTGTGCTGGCAAGTTTTCGGTCAAGTACATATATGCTAGAGTCAGCTAGAAAGATGGATTCACTCTTTTTTTTAGAATTTCACAATTTATATTCCTTTTTTCTATTTTATATTATTTAAAACAATTTTGAAATTTAATTATATTTCATCATATTCTTCCCTTCCACCAAGTTCTTCCAAATACCTCCCCATCCCTCCTCTTTCACATTTAGGTTATTTTTCAAAAGAGCCAAACACAGAAAAAAAAACTATTTGAAAAGAAAATTCTGCCAAAACAAGAAAACAAATACATACCCCACCAAAAACCCAACGAAGTGTAACCAAATAAAATAGCACACAACAATACCTGGGAAATTCGATTATATGCTGGGCACATAATCCTGAACATGATGCCTGTCCTGGCATCGTTAGTATAACCAGTGCATGGAGAAAATTGATTTTTGCCTTTCATCGTTGGTATAAGTGTAAGGGAAAGTTCTGTTGCTGAATTTTTTCCTGGTGGCTAGGTTTTCATTCATTGATTCATTCATTCATTTTCAAATAGTTTAACGAAATAATATATAAACCACAAACTTTGAACGAGACAAACCAACAAAGAGGAAAATAGTTCAAGAGAAGCAGGTCTGTAGATTGAGAAAAACTGTAGGTGTGATTGATGAACAAGATTGTAGTTTATTTTCTTAATTAGTGATTCGTATGGGAAATCCCAAGCCATTGCAGGTGTTGCTGTCCTCTGGGCGGGTGGCACCGGATACTATAAGAAAGAAGGTTGAGAAGACAGGAAGGAGCAAGCCAGCAAGCAGCACACCTCTATGGACACTGCATCAGCTCCCGGCTCCAGGTTCCCCTGCTGTTTTGTGTTCCTGTCCTTAATTCCCCGAGCAATGTACTAAGCCATGGAACAGTAAGCTAAAATGAACTCTTGCCTCCACATTGTTTATAATCATGGTAGCTTGTCTCAGCACTTTAAATGGAAACACATCAGTTTAGTCTTCCATTGACAACTCTATCTTTAAAAGTTTCATGTCCATCCCCCTTCTTATGTTTGTTTTTGATGAAATCAGTAACGTGATAAAGCAATGAAGAGACCCATACCAGAGGATTTTCCATCTGAGTTTAAAGATAAACTTTGGGAAACACCCAAAGTAAGGATATTGTGTATGGCAGATATGTACATTTAAAACTCCCTGTAGACCATTCCCCCAGCTTTGTGACCTGCACTACAAGCAGACAACATACACTGCCCTTCCAAACATCCTTTCTACCACCACATCCTCTCCCAGGAAGTAAAGCATCAGAAGCAAGCCGGTCTTCTGCATGGTTGCCAACTGTAGTATGGATCCTTCCTCACCATGCTATAGGTAGACCAGTCGTCAGGCTTCCAGACCTGTAGAAATAAATGTCCCCCTCTTACCAGACCATGTACCCACCACACACCACAGGAAACTCATCTGCTCACATATCTTTGCTTTTATTTGGGGTACCACAAGAGGACTCTTTGGTAACTGTCAATGGAAGTACCAATATCCATGACTGGCCATGACTCAGCCAGCATCAAGACCTCTGATGAGTTAAGAGGTCTTGACCATGCTGACTCCATGAGCTGGTCAGGTCCCCAGTAGTTACTCTTGTGCTCATTGTGACCCCTTCTTGACGAGGATCATTCTTGCACAGTTCCACGCTGAGCAGATGGTAGCACTTAGGGCAAGGCATACCCACATCTTTCACAAGGTTTTTCAAGTTCCTCTCAGGGAGTCTCCTCCTTAGCCTCCTGCGCCGCCTTGGTCTTCTTCGCCTCTTAAAAGTCTTTTGAACCTGCAAGGACAGCACAGTGATGATAAGCATGTGAAGGGGACACTGTGAGGAAAAGGTGTGGGCTGAGGAGGAAATCCATGCCAGGCCACGGAGAGACAAGAGTCCCAGGGAAGGGAAACTGCTAAATGACGAAGAAAGGATACTTTGATCTAGTCGTCTCACCTTTCCGTAACTTGCCGAAATCGGCTGACCTGCAGCTGTGCCAGGTGTGCAGGGATAATCCTGACTGGAATTCACGGCATTCTTTTGCTGGTATTCTGAGGTTGAAGGTTCTAAATGTGTATTAGGCTCCACTGTCTCCTCACTAACATCCATAACGGAGCCTACCAGAGAGAGTTCTGACCCACAGCTCTCTGCACCCCAGTGATCTAGCCTGCCAAACAATGCAGGGCCACACCCTTCAGCCCTGATTGGTCAGCACAGCCTCACCAGCCATTATGAACCTTTCCAGCATCATATATCACCACCTCTGACCTCTCTGGGTACTGGGCACAGGGTTGAGGGGTGGGCTTCCAGAGAAACCAGGATGTACCTGAGAAGTCAGAATGCACCACCTTGATACCTCGCGGGGGAGAGGGGCACTGTGATTGCAAAGGAAGAGAGTCTGTCAGGAGACAGGAGGCTCTTGGTGAGCTTCTTCAAGAGCTACTTCCCAAACAACTTTTCTTTCCTTCAGTCAATGCTCATTGCAGAGAAAGACGTGGCTGGAAGCCCCATTCTCCAAATTCTTCCCTGTGTCACCCCTACTCAGTGGATCATTCTGGTTTCCCTTATCTCTTAGGGAACATTATATTATCATTCTGAAAATATTTATAAAAGTGATTTGATCAAATTTAGGACTCTTTAGCTGGCCAATCTCCTATAAACAAACAAAACCAGGTCTTTATGAATAAGTACCTCCCAACCTGTTAAATTTGTCATGAGAGGTGACTGATTTTCTTTAGAACATTTTTTCTATTTATTGTTGGAAAATTTTATATAAGTGTATGATGGATTTTTATTAAATCCCTCTGCCAATACCTCCCCTCCAGAGCCTCCTAGGTTCAAAAACTTTAGAGTATGTTTCTGGCTGCCCTTTTCTTAGCAACAGAGTTTGGGATATATTGGAAGCTTTTGTAGACTAATGGATGTCTACTTTTATTCAACAGTTGAACACTGACCTCACTGTTTTTTTTTTACTATTTTAAAGGGTTTTTATTTTGTTTGTGTGTGTGTGTGTGTGTGTGTGTGTGTGTGTATGTGTTTGTGTGTGTGTGTGTGGTATTGCTGGCACACATTTCCTTCCCTGTAACACATCTTCTATTCTGGTGTTTTTGAATCATGTGTTTTTGAGAAATAAATGCTGCTGCTGCTCTAATTCATTTGTTGGTCTGAAATAAAATTCATCATGATAATTGCTCAAACTCCCAGAGTTCTGCCTGTCTCTCCCTCCTGAGTGGTGGGCCTAAAGGCATGTACCACCACTACCTGGCTTCTCTTTAGTTCTAATGGAGTAGCAATATCCCTTTAGAATGTACACACCAGTTTTCTCATCCAATCCCTTCCTGCTTTCAAGGACATCTATGTTTGCTGGGCATGACAGTGCCACAAACAGTGATGTTCTGAGCATCCTCATTTATGTCCTCTTGGGAAATTCTTCATTGAGACAATCACAGGAAAATGAAGCTCAAGGCTTTGGTGCCATCGATTGTCTCCCTCAAGGCTCCTGTACCACAACACTTAACCATATAAGATTTAAACAACACACATTTATTTCTCACAAAGTAGACACTAGAACCGCTTTTAGAGGGCCATGATAGTCAAATTCTGATGATCATATTTTCCTGGTTATGTCTTTACATGGTCTTTGTTTGGGATAATCAATAACACAAAAAGGATTTTATAATGTATTAAAAAATTATACAGTCTATTTTGATCTTATTTCCCCTGCCCCAACTCCTCTCATATCTCCTCCAACTCCCTACCCATCGAACTTTATAGTCCCTCTCTAGAGAGTTTTTATATGAGGTGAAGGGAAGTGCTGTATCTGCCTGCTGTCAAGGAGGCAAGATGTGCCAGTGATAGGTTAGGTTGTAGTGCACTTGTCTCCCTTCCATTTCCTGAATTCAGCTAATCCTAAGTGGGAAACAAGGTAGCTCAGCAGGTGAAGACTCTTGCCACCAATCCAGAGGTCCTGAAATCTATGCCTGGGTCACACTTGGTGGAAAGACCAGACTCCCAAAATTCTCCTCTGACCTCCATACATGTGCCATGGCATGCGTGCACACGCATGCATAAACACACAATATAATATGTAATATATTTTTAAAAACAGCAAAATTATTGTTATTAATATTGGCGATTATAAATCTGAACTTTAAAGAAAAACTTACTAAATGGGGTTATCAAAGGAAACAGCAGTCCCACCAGCAGTGGAGGAGTGTTCTCCTTTCATCACAACCTAACCAGCATAAATTGTTGTTGGGGTTTTTGATTTTAGCCATTCTGACATGAGGAAGATGGTACCTCAGGGCTGTTTTGATTTGCATTTTTCAGATGGCTATGGATATAGATCACATTCTCAAGTGCCTCTCAGCCATTTTAGACTCCTCTATTGAGAATTTTCTATGTAGTTGTGTAGCCCACTTTTTAATTGAATCCTTTGGTGTTTTGGAGACTTGCTTCTTGAGTTCTTTGTAAATTTTGGAGATCAGCCCTCTGTCAGATGTGGGGTTAGTGAATATCTTTTCCCATTCTGTGGGCTGCCTTTTTGTCATGCTGACTGTGTCCTTTGTCTTACAGAAGCTTCTCAGTTTCAGGAGGTCCCATTTATTAATTGTTGACCTCACTGTCTACACTACCAGTGTTATGTTCAAGAAGCAGTCTCCTGTATGAATTCTTACCTGTATATTTTTGTGCCAATACTGAGCTGTTTTCAGGAGTACAGCTGTATAGTAGAGTTTGAAGTCAGGGATTGTGATGTCTCCAGATGTTGCTCTGTTGAATAAGGCTGTTTTGGCTATCCTGGGTCTTTTGTTTTTCCATACTAAATTGATTATTGTTCTTTCAAGGTCTGTGAATGATTGTGCTGGTATTTTAATGGGGATTGCATTGATTCTGTAGACTGCTTTTGTCAGGATTGCCATTTTTACTGCCTTGATCCTACCTATCCAAGAGGATGGGGGATCTTTCCATTTTCTGATGTCTTCTTTAATTTATTTCTTTAAAGACTCAAAAGTTCTAAAGATACAGATCTTTCACTTGGTCGGTTATCATTACCCCAAGGCATTTTATATTGTTTGTGACAATTATAAAGGGTGATGTTTCTCTGATTTCTTTTTCAGCCCTTTTATCATCTGTATATAGTAGGGCTACTGATTTTCTTGAGTTGGTCTTGTGTCCTGCCACATTGCTGAATGTATTTATCAGCTGTAGGGGTCCATGGTAGAGTTTTTGATCACTTATGGAAACTATCATATCATCTGTAAATAGTGAAAATTTGACCTCTTTCTTTCCAAATTGTATCTGCTTGATCTCCTTTTGTTGTCGTATGTCTCTAGCTCGAACTTTGAGTACAATATTGAAAAGGTATGGAAAGATTAGACAGCCTTGTGTTGTTCTTGATTTTAGTGGAATCCACATTGAGTTTCTGGCTGATGATTTACTGTTTATAGCTTTTATGATTTTTAGATATGTTCCTCCTCTCCCAGATCTCTCCAAGACCATTATCATGAAGTGGTATTGGATTTTGTCAAAGGCTTTTTCTGCATCTAGTGAGATGATCATGTGCCTTTTTTCTCAGTTTGTTTATATGGTGGATTACATTGGCAGATTTTAGAATGTTGAACCATCGCTGCATTCCTGTGATAAACCCAACGTGATCGTGTTGAATGATTGTTTTGATATGTTCTTGGATTCGATTTGCCAGTATTTTTTTATTTTTATTATTTATCTTTAAATTTAAATTTAAATTAGAAACAAGGTTGCTTCACAAGTCAGTTCGAGGTCCCTCTCCGTTTCACTACTCTCCTCCTGTGCCCTCCCCCCAAACACCCCCAATATCCCCTCATTTCCCCAGGGGCGATGAGGCCCTCCATGGGGGTGTCCATAGTCTGTCATTTCATC